AAGTAAAGGATACATGTATTATGTTCTTGATCTGATCGATAAGTATGGCCCCGTTTTGTAAGTTTTATATTTAACTTGGAAAGTTATATATTAAATTTCATGAATGTAATTATTTATGTTATAAAATAGCACGTATACTATCCCCCAAAAAGGTCGATTTATTTTGATTAATGATCCACAGTTATTAGAACATATGCTCAAAGTGTGCTTTCATATTAAATTGAACACTAAAATTAATGGTTACATTTTATTAACTGCCTGTTTACAACATTAGCAAATTTTGAATGTTTTGAAAAAGATGATATTTTACATGAATTATTATATAATCTATTCGGTGATGGAATATTTGCTGTTGATAGGTTTGTTTAATACTGCAATATGCATTCGATTTTCCCTAAATACACTACCTATAGGTGTGACCATAATAAATTCACCCTAAATGCAATTTCTCTTTAAGTGCAAGATTCTACATTTCATTCTGGTTATAACGGCATTTTAAATGTTTGAACCTATATGCTTAGGGAAGTGCCGTTTATTGCGTAATTTTAGGAGGGAGGAGGGGTTAGCAACCTCTCACATCTATATTTTGTAGATAAACATTGTGACTGGCTGCTAATTTGATCACCTAGGAAGGAGAGGGTCTGTCCCTCTAGTAGAAAGAAATTGCGTAATAAACGGAATTTCCCTTAATATGAAAAGCCACTAGATAATTTCTTTGTTTCGGAGATGTCGACATAAACCAGAATGACGCGTGTTAAATTAAAGTCCTAGCAAGTTTCACTTAGAAAATGTTGACTGTATATTTAAATTTATCTTTCCATGAATTAAATATTGTAATTAATATTTTGTTCATATTTTACAAAAGAAATCAATGGAAATTTCAAAGAAGAGTATTAAGTCATCTATTTCAAGAAAGAAATTTCAGCGACTTTATATGCGTAAGCATGGTAGAAAAGTCTAAGACTGTATTAGACATTTTACGGGGCTGATAATGGAAAACCAATTGATTTACAAGATTTATTTTATAGATTCACTTTGGATACCAAGTTTTTCATTAGTGAAAAATATTGCTAGTTATGTATATAATATGATAAATAACCGTAGAGCAGACATTGAAGTCGGAAATGATGTGTTAACTTTGTTTATTGATGCTGTTGACAAGGATGGGGAGAAACTTAATGATAAAGAATTAAGAGATGTCATTATGAATCTCATTATTGCTGGTATGTTTCAATGTAAAGAAATATGTAGATTCCATTAATGCTTTATTAATGCTTTGTTGTTTTATATTTCTTTAATGCTTTTTTTGATATTTAGGTCGGGATACTACAGCACAAGTAAGATTTATTAACTAATAATAAATATAACTATTTAAAAAATAATTTATATATTACGCGTACTTACATCAAGATGTGATAATAGGCGCTATCTTGGATGGTGTATTCTATAATGGCAAATCCATCCGTTGAAGATTCTTTACTAAAAGAAATTAATTCTATTCTTTCTCCAAACACTCCAATTCCATCATATAACGATATCAAACGATTTAAATATACAAACGCAACATTTTATGAAACTTTGCGATTATATCCTAGCGTTCCAAAAAATGGCAAGGTAGATAGATTCATAAAACGTGATGAATGTTTTTTATTAAACTTTAGAATATTCTAAAAAATTTTTTTCAAAAAGGTTTGTGTTAAAGATAACATCCTGCCAAATGGTGTCCCTGTATATGCCAACGAATTTGTGGTATTTTTTCCTTGGGCAATGGGAAGAGATAAAAAAATGTGGGGTGAAGATGCAGAAGTCTTTAAACCTCAAAGATTTTTAAGTTCTGAAGAAATGTCGAAACCAAACCCATTTAAGTTTATTGCGTTTCATGCTGGACCTAGAACCTGGTAGAGTGTTTAATGTGTTTTTTTTTTTTTAATAAAGTCGAATTCTCTATTTAACCTTTTAATAAATAGTTTGGGGCAACAATTCGCAACTGTTGAAGTAATAATTCTTGTAACGATGATGCTAAGAGAATTTAAATTTGAATTAGTTCCTGGCCAAAAATCTCCACCGGAATTTCAAAAGTCTATCACATTGCCTATGAAAGAACCGTTAATGGCTAAAGTGTCGCGTAGGATTTAAAAGCTCACATTTACTAAAAGATCTTCACCTAAGATCTTAATTATTCTATGAATTTCTTTCATATTGGCAGATGCCAATATCTATATATAATACTGTATATGTGTTGTTCGTCGAAATAGAATATCAATAAATTTAGAATCCATTGAAATGGATTCTAAACATACTTAAATCGAAATTTTAAATCGACTAAATTTTAAATCAACCTAATTTTTAAATTATCAATTAGACCATAGAGTTGGATGTTACATTGGGCATTATATATTAACAACTTCTAAAAACGATATATTAGAGAAAAATACAATTTTTAATTCTCGGTTAATAATTTACAGGAATTTCATAAAAATAATTCTTAAGCACGAAACTTTATAAAACGTTTCAAGGCAATATCACATTTAGATTTTGCAATGTTATTTAGTTCTATGAATCACCTTCGCCTTTTTATATTTGCATGATTATATTTGTATTGCTCACGTGTAATAGCAGTTATGTATATACTTTCACATTTATAATCTGATAGACTCTTGAAATTGCTCAGCCTGAAAGGGAATTTTTATTTGCAATAGATGTAATTTCAAGAATATGATATAATGTATCATTTGCTATAACTTAAGAACGTTGTAGTTGAT